GTCGGATGTTTTTAAATGTGATATTATTGTTGTTTCACAATATATCGGAATTAGAAAGCTGAAATGGCTTTGAAATCTAAGAAAACGGCAGGCCCGGGTTCTTTCGTTTTGTGTTAACACAACACACCCATCTGCATATAGCATGGAGTTTAAACGTGTTAAATCCAGACATATATTTTGGAAATCACACTGATGTCTTGAAAAATATATTATTTATTTATTTATTTATTTATTTATTTATTTATTTATTTATTTATTTATTTATTTATTTATTTATTTATTTATTTATTTATTTTATTTATTTTATTTTATTTTATTTTATTTATTTAAAAAAAAAATTATTTCATAGAAGTAAATGTTCGTTTCAAAGTGGTTCGTAACACATATATGCATTTCGATCATACGGGTGTATCGTCGTCTTTTTGTGATATTAAGCCTTCGTGACGTTCTATGTTAATCTTTGAATATGATCATCTTCGAGGTACCATATATGAGATCAGATCTCGACATATTAATAGGTTCGTATTCAGAACCTTCGTGACTCTGCTATTCGTATAACAGCATTTGACCTGACAACTGATGAACCCAACATGTAAATATCAGATCTTCCCGCGGGGGACATTTCTTCTATTTTGACATGCAAGTATAGGCATGCATGTAATTGTAACATGATATATAATCTTGCTTAATATCAATGGGTCAACAATACGTCGCTAATTGAACAATACAAACGCATATGCGGCTAAACTGATAACATTGACATCTTAATAAAGAACTCTTTATATTCCTCTTCGTCATGATAATCTGTACGGCTTTAATCTTCACAAGTAGGGGGTAGCCTAGTGGTTAAAGCGCTCGCCTGTCACGACAAAAGCCCGGGTTCGATTCCCCTGAGGGGTACAATGAGTGAAGCCTATTTCTTGTGTCTCCCGCTAAAATATTGCTGGTATATTGCAATATACAATCATATTCGTTCACTGACTCCTAACAATTATTGCATTACAATTAATAATTATCCATATGAAAAGACAAACCATCCACACTTAAATCCCATCGTAAAGCTGTGCTCCAATGTCTAAGTAAATCAGTGAGTGACTGTTGTTTAACGCCGCACTATGCTGGATGTATCACAACGTATGTGGATGAAGAAAAGAAAAGAAATGCCACACCAAGTGAGTGAGTGAGTGCGTGAGTAAGTTATCACAATGTAAATATCTTTACAAATCATGGAATATTTTCTCTGTGTGTTGAATCAACATGGTCAATTCATGACATCACATTTATAATAAGATCATCAAAATGATCAATGTAAGTTCATTTGAATTAGTATGGTTTTACGCCGCTTTTAGCAATATTCCAGCAATTTCACGGCCGGGGACACCAGAAATGGGCATCACATATTGTACCCATGTGTGAAATCGAACCCGGGTCTTCGGCGTGACAAGTCTATGCTGTCTTTACTATACTGACTGACTGACTGAGTTTGGTTTTACGCCGCTTTTAGCAATATTCCAGCAACATCACGGCGGGGCACACCAGAAATGGGCTTCACGCATTGTACCCATGTGGGGATTATACGCCGTCTTCAGTAATACCCAAACAATATCACGGCGGGGGACACCAGAAACGCCAACCTTGCGGAGAAGGGAATCCCAGCCATCAGCGTGACGAACGACCGCAGTACCACTGGGCTACCCAAGCTGAAAGAAAAAGTGTTCAATTTGAGTAATGTAGGATCTGGAGCACGACTACCCGTGAAGATCCGGGTTAGAATTGGTCTTCAGCAGCCAATACTTGAATAACGGGATCGGGTGATCAGGCTCGCTGACTTGGTTGACACATGTTACAAACAGTATGTATGTATGATCGGAGTTATCGATAGGTTCTGTTTATCCAGCTTTGTCACTATCGACCAGGTTTGATCAGCGGACGGACATATTTATACAGGAACGAGCTACGTGCCCTGATGGCCATTTATATGCTCTGTCTACACTGTAATGCGTGCTATGAAAATCTGACGTTGTCTCTGTGTGTGTAAAGAGGTAGTAATTAACTGGTACACTGATATAATCATTAAATACCCGTGAAGATCCGGGTTAGAATTGATCTTCAGTAACCCATGCTTGTCGTAAAAGGCGACTAACGGAATCGGGTAGTCAGCTTGGTTGACACATATCATCGTATCCCAACTGCGTAGATTGGTGATCATGATGTTGATCACTGGATTGTGTGGTCCAGACTTGATTATTTACAGACCGCCGCCATATTGCTGGAATATTGCTAAGTGCGGCGTTAAGCAACAACAAACAATCTTTTGCATGACAAGCAAACGTTTAGACGCTGGACCAAGCCGTATTTGGAAATGAAAATCGATGATCGATCAAGAATACGCGCCAAGTAAAAAGAATATCTAAGCTACCACGACCATCAATTTCTTCCTTCGGCAGCTGGTGGTGGAAATACCCCCTGGAAAATATCCGTAGGTATAACATATATACCAGGTACTACCGATCTATACTAGATCACTAAGCACATGGTGCTGTGTCAATCTCGTCAAAGGAATCCGCCGTTCATCAATAGCTGGAAGACACAGATGATATAATTATACCTCATTACTGAGGAGATACTGCCTTTTATTCATCATCAATTATAGACAAAACGTGATCTGGTTTCAGAGGTACTTTTAGCGCGGTCAACCAATCAGGCCGTATAGTGATCGATAGAGCGTGAAGGGTATTAACCAAACGCCATTTAAATCGTTTGTGATTTCCATCATACATAACTTAATGATGAAGCGCCGTCTTTCATCTTGGATGAAACCGGATAGTAGAAGGGTTTGGTTTATGTATTGGGGATGTGGTGGTATTGATTCATTTGTTCAAGAACACGCATCTGTACTTTCAAGATGGCGAGGTAGCCCAGTGGTTAAAGCATTCGCTCGTCACGCCGAAGACACGGGTTCGATTCACAAAATAAGTGAAGCCTTTTTCTGATGGAATATTGCTAAAAACGGCGTAAAACCATCCTTACTTACTCACTCACACACAGTCCTTTAAACAAGTTAAGGTCCTATGTAAATGTATGTTCTGGTAATACGAACAGACTATCGGTGACGGTGATCATTGAGGTAAGCTGATATTACGACAACAGATCAGAGGGATGACTTCGCGAGATCGGCTTTTCAATGGTCAACCTTCCGTTTATGTGGAGCAATATTGCTGCAACCTTTCTTTGGTGCCGCCATTGCTCAACTCTTGAAGTAATGGAGCACGCTCTTTCTACTGAGGTTTCAAAGAGCTGCATACAACTCTTGCCCAGAGCTGTTTTATCAGGGTAACAGAATATAATTAAGACCTCCACAAAGCTGAAAAGTTTATACGGTAGACATGTGGTGGACATTTCCATATTGGACGCATCAGTGATCTCAGCGAAAGTGCATATTTATACTTGTACAATTTCAAGACGAGTTTGTTCATGTGAACACTTGACTTGCCTGAGCATGTGTTTGTGACGTGTGCCCTGATGGGGAGGTGCGCAAACACCTGGTACCATCACTATTTGATAGTGATTCATAATCAAAATCTTATGATACAGACGGAATCGTTTGATATTTGTAATGATCATGAATGTATTTTGTTTTCTTCTTTTATCGCATTTTTTTTTCAGGTATACATACGGGTTGACATGTGTAAAAGTATACAGTTCATTACATACGTGTAAGGTTGATAATACTTCAGTATAATTGTACAGAGTCAATAACACTGTTACATGTACAACGAGATAATTTATTACTTAACGGTTCTGAATAGCATGTGTAAACTGGACCATAGTTTTAGGAAGTAGAGTTCCTGGTCAAGATTAATGTATACATATTTTGTGGCATTATAATATTGTATGATTTGTCTCTTGATGTATGAAACATTTGGAATGAAACCTTTCTTACTACAATTATATATAATATTCTTGACTAAAATAATTATCGTATTTAATGCATAGTTATGCTTTATCGCATATTGGATGTCCTGCAGTTGATTGGAATTGTAGCATTGATAAGAGAACATGTCTCCACATTAATGCTTCGAGTTGTCATCAATTGTATCTACGTTTAACGGGTATTTCACACGCTGTTTGTTGACAAATGCCGCATTCAACAACAGTCCTGCTAAATTGGGTTGGTATGTGAATAATAGCGTCTGTACCAGACAATCCAGTGACTAACACCGAGAGCACCGACCCATGCATGTACGACATGTAGCCACATCAGCTTTCAGTTACATCAGCAGGGTATTTTTCAGTTATATATAAAATAATGTGTTGAAATATATTAAAAATTAAAAGATGAATTTCATTTCTTTCTGTTATGTCTTAATTATAAGACATGTAGAGAATTATTTTTACAATATTATAACAATCCATCCCATGATAAATGTGTCTCATTAATGTCAACAACATATCCTGTTCGTATGAAGAAGATATCATTGTTTCTCAAAAAGGAATGCTTCATGTTATTTAGTCTTGCATTGTAGATCAATATATCTTGCTCACTGTGTGATGATTTTGGTATTCTAGCACTATGGGCCATGAGGCCTCAAATGAAAATAAACTTGTCACTTGTCACTAAGCAGTCATGACAATAGTGAAATGTAATTTCAGTCCGAGTAATAATTACATTTGGCATGCGGTACTTCTCTGAGCTTAGTTTCAACGGGGCACTAATTTAGTGGTGGAAAGGTATCAAATTAATCAAATTATTTCACAATGCTCTTTAGAAACTGGTCAAATTTATGACGTGTTATAGTTGGGATTACACTTTCTCGGTAGAGGACAGATTCCAGTAGTTTTGTCGGTTGAGTCCATCTGGATCGAGGTCTCTGAATCTGTACTTTACCGACAATGTGTAATCACAAATATAACACGTGTTACAGTGTGAGGTCTGTTATCATTACATGCACGATTTGACACAGGTATGCACCTGTAACGTTTTCTAATTTTCATTTCAGTGCCACTGAATTCAGCAACAGCTCGTGGAGGAAGGAGCGGGACCTCATCAACACACTGCTAGACACTGGCCGATACGATGCCAGCATCCAGCCGTCCTCGCTTACCGGTAAGGGAGATAACTCCCGTGTAACATAGGACTGCATTGTCCAACCTACTGAATATTATCACTATTTTCAAAAGCGTTTTTTACTACTTCTACTACTGCTACTACTTCTGTTGCTACTACTACTACTATTACTACTACTACTACTACTACTACTACTACTACTACTACTACTACTTCTACTACTACTATACACTACTACAACCACTACTACCACTACCACCACTACTACTACTACTGCGACAGCTCTTACTTCTACTACTACTACCACTACTACTACTGCCACTACTACTACCACTACCTCTACCTCTACCACTACTACTACCTCTACCACTACCACTACCACCCACTACTACTACTACTGCGACAGCTCTTACTACTACTACTACTACTACTACTACTACTACCACTACTACTACCACTACCACTACTACCACTACCACTACCACTACCGGGGCGGTGGGGTAGCTTAGTGGTTAAAGCGTTAGCTCGTCACGCCGAAAACCCGGGTTTGATTCCCCACATGGGCACAATGTGTGAAGCCCATTTGTGGTGTTCCCCGCCGTGATGTTGCTGGAATATTGTTAAAAACGGCGTAAAAGCAAACTCACTCACACTCACACACACTCACCACTACCACTACCACTACCACCACTACTACTCTTATCCCATGACGAATCCTAGTTAGAATTTGTCTTCAGCAATCCAATATTTGTCATAAAAGGCGACTAACGCGCTCGGGGTCAGACTCGCTGACTTGGTTGACACTTGTCATCGTATTCTAACAATCACTGGATTGTCTGGTCCAGACCTATTGTTGTCATATTGCTGAGTTCAACGTACCATGAACTGCTATCTCTATTAGCTTCCCCTGCCGCTACCAAGAATTCTTCACACATATTAAGGAATTTTACTCTTTTCAGTCTTCATTAAAAGGACTGTATTTCTTTGATTAATACTCTCAAAAGAAAATGTGGCGTTAACCTGAACACAAACCAATATATTCCACCATTGTAATATCTGATTTCTATTTCAGGGGTACCTACAAAAGTTGAAATAGACCTCGTGCTGAATTCGGTCGGACCTGTTGACGATATTGATATGGTAAGATGTCGTCGCGTCCATCTAAAAAGATCTAGCAAAATCATCCTGACGGATCTACCAAGAACTACTTGGCAGATCTAGATGACTTCAATACGTTGGGGAAAGTTAAAAACTAACGGTGTTCCACTTTTTGATGAAATAGGTTACCAGTCAGACACAGAATGGGTTTTGTCAGACAAGTGACCAGACAGGCGGCATTGAAAAGGACGAAAACGTAAAATATTAATTAAACACATTAAAAGGCACAATGCCACACATTTTCGACAATATTTTGTTGTCGGTGTTTGCCGAACTGTTTTCAATTACAAGTCGTGCGGAGGATATTCGTAAAGAGCGATCCAAGGGACATAACTCTATGGGGTTCGCTTGAATAATGTTCAGCCGTTAGAGGGCGCGAGAGTTGATTTAATGCAACCTTGCGTTAATTCATTCGAACTTTTTAATTTAATATTTTAATCTAAATGCGTATATATTTCATGTACACATGCAGAGCCAAGGCAACTGTTTGGAAATGTCCTCTACATATCTGCCACAAAACCTTCCAAAAGAAGTAAGTTAAGGCTCCCAATACTGCAAGGTTTGAAAATCAGCGTAGAAAGCAACTGTACGTAATTTGTTTGAGTGGCATAGAAGTTGGTGGTATAGAGATACCAAAACTGTGTGGATGATCAACTTCTGTATTTCCACAATAGCGACGTTTTCAAGCTTGAAAACGGTAAAAGAAGTTATACCGAAACGTAGCTTGAAAACGGTATAAGAAGTTATACCGAAACGTCGCTTGAAAACGGTATAAGAAGCTACACCGGAACGTAGCTTGAAAACGGATTAAGAAGCTCCACCGAAACGTCGCTTGAAAACGGATTAAGAAGCTACACCGGAACGTCGCTTGAAAACGGTATAAGAAGTTATACCGAAACGTCGCTTGAAAACGGTATAAGAAGTTATACCGAAACGTCACTTGTAAACGGTATAAGAAGTTATACCGAAACGTCGCTTGAAAACGGTATAAGAAGTTATGCCGAAACGTCACTTGTAAACGGTATAAGAAGTTATACCAAAACGGCGCTTGAAAACGGTATAAGAAGCTATACCGAAACGTCGGCTTGAAAACGGTATAAGAAGCTATACCGAAACGTAGCTTGAAAACGGTATAAGAAGCTACACCGGAACGTAGCTTGAAAACGGTATAAGAAGCTACACCGGAACGTCGCTTGAAAACGGTATTAGAAGCTACACCGGAACGTCGCTTGAAAGCGGTACAAGAAGCTATACCGGAACGTCGCTTGAAAACGGTATAAGAAGCTATACCGAAACGTCGCTGTTGTGAAAATATAGAAGTTGATCTCCATGAAGTTTTGTCATCTCAACTGTACGTAAGGGGGTACAAAAAGGCAACACTTACTGATATAGACAGTTTCCTATACTAAGTGAGTGAGTGAATTTGGTTTTACGCCGCTGTTAACAATGTTCCAGCAATAGCACGGCGGGGGACACCAGAAATGGACTTAACACGTTGTACCCAAGTGGGGAATCGAACCCGGGTCTTCGGCGCGAGGAGCGAACGCTTTAACCACTAGGTTACCCCACCGCCTCATTTGGTATTGTAAAAAGTATAAGTGTTACAAATACACATACAACCATCCAAGAAATAAAATGTTCGATTATAAGTCAAAAGTGGATTACAACTCACGCCAATGTCAAAACCGAGTCAGATAAACCAAGCACAATTAACAAAACTAACAAAATTTACAATGGTAATACCCTCCCCCACCCTCGTCTCCCTTTGTCATTCTAGATAACGGTAAATCAACGGTCAACATAGCAATTATAATTGCTAAAGCCTTATCAAACTCAAATTAGCCGCTCCCATTATCAAAGTTTCAGTGGATGTTAAAAATATTCAGGAACATTTTGTTATACATATTATTTTAACTAATGGCGTAAGTTTGAGTTGGGGGTGGGGGGTGGGGGTTATTTGCGTCAGTAAGTATACATACTTATCCAGTACCGTTACAAACAGTATGGGTGCATGATCGGAGTTATCGGTAGGTTCTGTTTATCCAGCTTTTGTCACTATCGACCAGGTTTGATCAGCGGACGGGACATATTTATACTGGAACGGGCTACGTGCCCTGATAGCCATTTATAGGCTCTGTCTACACTGTAATGCGTGCTATGAACATCTGACGTTGTCTCTGTGTGTGTAAAGAGGTAGTAATTACCTGGTACATTGATATAATCATTAAATACCCGTGAAGATCCGGGTTTGAATTGGTCTTCAGTAACCCATGCTAGTGGTAAAAGGCGACTAACAGAATCGGGTGGTCAGCTTTGATGACACATGACATCGTATTCCAATTGCGTGGAATGATGCTCATGATGTTGATCACTGGAATGTCTGGTCCAGACACGATTATTTACAGACCGCCGCCATATACAACGCCGTCCAGTAATTCCGCGCATCTAAGCACATCGATAGCAACAAGGCAACTAACGTCTCTTATTTTTTGTGGTTTACGTGACTAAACATGCTGGTAAGATTCTAACGTTGCATTATGCCATACGGTTGACCTTACCGGCGTTTTGACGACATCGCTTGCTGTCCGGTAATTCTGCACAGCAACTGATGCGCATAACATCCAGCTGGAGATCCGAAGTATGGAAGCGTATTAGGGCCAGATTATTTTCAAAAGTCACTTCATCAATGTAAGGAAGAGTGTTTCATATTAAATCCAATTATGAATAATGAAGAAAAAGGTTTAAAAGTCTGAAGTAAACGAATTTTCATAAAACTGTCAATTTATCTTTCAATTACTGTTATTTACTTACCTTTATTGATTAAAAGCCAGGCTTGTAGAAATGTCCCGATTTCAAGCATAAATGTGGAAGTAGACGATGTTTATCTTCGATACGGAATTACGCTATTGCAGCTGCGCAGAATTACCGTACGCGCTGTAGCTGGAATATTGCTGAGTGCGGCGTAAAACTAAACTCACTCAATCACTCGTTGTTTTCACAAGAATAGTAAACATCAGAGACCTGCATTACTTTGGGTTTCCCTCCCACATTAAGCAGACACGCCCTGACTTACTGTTCAACTTATCGAGGTGATATACAAGGCAAACCAAACGCTTTTGTGCACAGTAGAGAATATGCTCAATTCTGATTTAGTTAGTTTGTTGTTTAATGACGTAATCCAGCTGCATGACGGCGATATGTAAATTATCAGGTATGGACCAGACTATTCCGTGATTGACATAATGAGCATCGATCTGTGCAACTGGGATACAATGGCGCGCTTTAACCAAGTCAGCGAGCCAGACTACCCGATCCCGTTTGTGATCCCTTATGACAACCATTGGTTGTTGAAGGCCAATTCTAACACAATTCTAAATTATAAAAAAAAGCTTTTAATTCCTGTCACAGTCTTTTTTTCAATCCATTTTATTCTCACGATGAAACCATGAGCTACATATATGCATAAACCTTGTTTTCATGCATTTTCGGTATTACAAATTGTGATATTATATATTATATAAGACTGTAATAATATATTCTGTCTTCAGGTTTTCCGCGCCAGTTTTTTTCTCCGACAACAATGGATAGACCCACGTCTAAAATTCAACGAGTTCAATCACAGCATCGTTCTGAGTGAGAAGCGACTCTCGCTGATGTGGGTACCGGATGTTTTCTTCCCAGAGTCTACCGAGGAGACTCGCCACATCATCACGACGCCAAACGTTCTCATTCGTCTACATCCAGATGGTTCCATCCTTTACAGCCAGAGGTAAGAATGAATGAATGAATGAATGAATGAATGAGATATGTATAATTGGAACTCAAACAAACTCCGTACGATCCCTGTTGAGAAAAGACATTTATACTACATTTAGCACCACTCATTCACTATTTTCTGTTTATCCCAAACTTCAGAGCAGCTTTTGAAAATATTCTACCATGTCTGATGGTGACTAAAATTGAAACAAGTTAAAGTGTTTTTTCGATGGGGATCCATTTGACACGACTATCATAGTTCTTTTGTTTTGTTGGTTCCTTTTTATTGTTTTAAAAAAAATATTTTATCATTTTATTTTATTTCATTTATATATTTATTTTTTATAAAAAATATATATATTTTTGGGGGGACGGGGGGGTGCGTGTGTGTTGTTTTGAACTGTTTAGAGGTATTTTATCTTTATTTTATCCTTTTTATTTATTCAATTTTTTTTTTGGTGGGTGGGGGTGGGGGTTTATTTTGGGAGTGTTTAGGGGGGATTTTCGGTTTTAGTTCATGTCTGGGTTGTTTATATGTTTCATTGACATTATGTTTTGCAGTGGTTTAGCAGCCAAGTAAGGTCTAGTCCATTTTTCAAGAGAATACCTTGTATTGCCAAAGTATCGACCTGTGGCATTGACACTATGTTTTCAATACCACTGATGCTTGATGTAAAGTACAATATCCCTCTATCCTTGTCTCTTTATCGCCAGTACAGGCCACGTGATAGCATACAAGAAACAGAGGAATCAACTGGAGGAGAATACAATAACAATGTCGGCTACAGAACAAATAAGTACATAATCGATTACGGATGTGAGTGTTTCACTGTGTAACAAAGGAGAATATGAGTGGTCAGAAAATAAATACAAGATACTTCTTTTGCAAATGACTATTTAGAAAAAGAAGATGTTATATTGTTGCTAAGTGTATTCCAGGTGTATAATTCACAGGTGTAGGTTTTCCCCACGTCCATTTGTTATGAGAAAAAACAGTACATTTCATAAACAGAAACGTTGTACAGACACGTAAAATTGTTCCTTTCAGAGAAAAACGAAATCCCTGACTTAATATTAATAAATTCCCTTAATATTACATAGTTTACGCGGATGTAGGAAGGCATAAAATAAAAACCTGCACATTTTTAAGGATTGATCATTTGAAAATTTTAGGAGAAACAATTTGAAACGCCAGTAAAAGTTTGCTCGCTGGACATGATTGATATACTGAAGAAATTGCGTTGCGGACAATGTTTATATAGCTGCGACTTTCGGAGGAAACGTTTGTGTGTCGTTACGAAAATTCTCAGAAAATAAACAGTTAGTACCTTAACTCAAACGGAGTAGCCTGGAATGGTGCCACATCTACCCAAGTGTTTTGCTGTTGTCATGCAGGAGGCCCTATTTCCGCTCACAGAGTTATCTGTATGATGAGGTTGACCAGACGAGTTGACTAGGGCGTTAAGTCAATTATGACTTAAGACTCCGTGGTGTAGTGGTTAGAGCGTCCGCCCGGAGAGCCGAAAGTCGCGGGTTCGATCCCGGCCGCGTCATACCAAAAGACGTTAAAATATGGTACTTGTTGGTCCCTGCCTGGCGCCCGGCATTAATGGGTACAACAAGGACTGGTCGGCTCGGAGTCAGTATACTGTGTCTGAGTGGGGTATTCATGTTTCACTGCGGCATGGTATCTCAGTGGGCTAGCACTATAAAACCAGCTTAAGTCTGGGCTAGTACAAGCAGCCGCACATACACATACATACACACGCATGCACGTCGTCATATGAGCGAAATATTCTCAGGCACGACGTTAAACCCAATTTCACCTCACCTCACCTATGACTAAGATATACCCGGTGTTGGCAGGTTATCAGTGACGATGCAGTGTCGGATGGACCTGGGCAAGTTTCCCCTGGACCAGCAAGTGTGTGGCATCAAGATGGAGAGTTGTAAGTAGCCAGAGATGTTTGTTTGTTTGTTTGTTTGTTTTACACCGCACTCAGCAATATTCCAGCAACATGTTGACGGTGGAGAAAGCCTAGTGGTTAAAGGGTTCGCACGTCACGCCGAAGACCCGGGTTCGCTTCCCCACATGGGTACAATGTGAAGACCATTTTCTGGTGTCCCCACCGTGATATGGGGATAAATTTGCTAAAAGCGGCGTAAAACTATACTAACTCACTCTTCGCCTGTGTGAAGACCATTTCTGGTGTCCCTTGCTGTGATATTGTTGGAATATTGCTAAAAGCGGCATAAAACTAAAGTCACTCACTCACTCACTCAAAGAATCACTTTATACATGGCAATCAAACGCACTATTTCGGCCTAGCTTACCTTATCCATCAGGTTGTTTCATTTCCCTCTTTGAACCACTAATGCATTCCCTTTGTAACATTTCGTCTGAAAATATTTTGCTGTGAATATGTTCGATTGGAATGATTTCTTTAAATACCCGATACACATAAAGGGCTTGATTTTGAAAAGAACTCCATTTAAGTATAGTTGGTTTCACATATTTGTACTAATTTCTTGATGCTTTACATAACCACATTTTCCCTCTACAATGACAGCTAAAATTCGATTTTCGCAAACGTGATGTGTAGACTGACACCAGAAATAATCCGACCTGCTGCCTTAAACCAACTAACTCATGGTGTGTGTCCTTTATGTCAATATTTAATTAATTTTAACTTGGTTCATTAAAATCGTGTATCATAACATGCTCAACAGAAATCACCCAAAAATAGAAAAACGCTATAATTGAAGCCATGAAACTGACTAGATAATCTCGGGTTGTTGGGGGTAGGGGTGGTGGTGGAGGTGGTGTTTGAGTTTGTTTTGGGGGTTGTTTTTGTGGTTGTTTTTTTGGTTGTATTTTTGGGGAGGGGTTGTTTTGTTTGTTGGTTTTGGGGGTGGGGTGGGTGTTCTGTCTCATGTAGGGGAGAGGGAGGAGGCGTTTGGTTGTTTTTTTTATTGTTATGCATTGTTTTTTGTTGCTGGGTTTGTTTTTTTATATCTGATTAAACTTATTTATCTTGACAAGCTCAGCAGTAATTATCTTTGATTCCAGTTCGGCTATTGATTGTAGTGCCAGTGAATTCTTTATACACTGGCTGTGATATCGATGCCTCTGGCTGTGTGCTACACTATGTTGGAATGGTAAATTACATTACAGAAATGAGATAAGGCAATTGGATGTGTCTAATACCGAGGTTGTTATGCAAGAAAGGGACAAACTATTTTATTATGTATTCTTTTTCACTGTATTATTTACACGTTTGAGTTTTGCACCGGATTACTTGCTACAAATGTAACTCTGATGACATAAGTCACATAGACTTCTAATCAACTGAGGGGCGGTGGGGGTAGCCTAGTGGTTAAAGCGTTCGCTCGTCACGCCAAAGACCCGGGTTCGATTCCCCACATGGTTAAAGTGTGAGAAGCTCATTTCTGGTGTCCCCCGCCGTGATATTGCTGGTATATTGCTAAAAGCGGCGTAAATCTAAATTCACTCACTCTAATGAACTGAAACATTGCAGTGAGACAGGAGACGTACAGATTTATTATGATATGTGACACAATACAAATTATAAATGATATGTGACACAATGTTTTGCAGATGGCTACACTACCGACGATGTATATTTCACATGGTCATCTGAACGGAAATCCACCAGTGTCATGCCAAACGCCTACATCCCCGACTTCACCCTCACCAACGTCTCGGCACACGACTGCACGGCTAAATATGAAACAGGTACATTGTCTGGAATTAAAGAGACCCCGTTAATAATAATAAAAATTCAGAATATTTATAACTGAATATTTATAATTGATCATATTCTGATCAAAGCGCACAAGTTTTAAGGTTGCTCAAAGCGCACAATCTGATTATTATTAGCCCGGATAACCCAAGCTGCCTGTTAGGCGCTACAAGGTAATAGTCACATGACTTATCCCACCGGGTACCCACTTTCTGCTGGGTGAACAGAGGCAATTTTGAACCAACTCACTTGCCTAAGGTGAGACCACATGTTTCGCATGTGCTTCGTTGTAGTTGTAGGGCAGAAGTAATCGTCTTTCCGGATAAATTAATCGTATGTTCTTAGTTCACTGAAGTGATTGCCATGAATCCTTGCAAGGATATTGAGTTCTCAGAATGAGGTGGGTTGGACTCGAGCATTTTTTATCTAATCTCTGAATAACCGTTTGTGTTAAAGTCTGTTAATTCCCTACTGGCAACGCTTAACGAATGTATCTGAATGAAGCCATTCGCAAAGTGCTCTTCTCGGCACGATCCTTGTCTCACTTACCCGTGAAGATCCGGGTTAGAATATTGATCTTCAGTAACCCATGCTTTTCGTAAGAGGCGACTAACGGGATCGGGTGGTCAGGCTCGCTAACTTGGTTGACACATGTCATCGTATCTCAAATGCGTAGATCGATACTCATGCTGTTGATCACTGGATTGACAGATCCAGACTTGATTATTTACAGACGGCCGCCATATAGCTGGAATATTGCTGTGTGCGGAGTAAAACTTAATTCACTCACTCCTTGTTTTACTCCATTCGTCATTTGACCTTTTTGTGACAGTTTAGTCTACCATTCCAGGTAGTTTCACGTGTATTGAGGCGAAACTGGATTTGAAACGAGAGATCGGTTTCTACGCCACACAGACCTACATCCCAAGCATCCTCATCGTCGTCCTGTCCTGGGCCTCGTTCTGGATAGACCACGAGGCAGTTCCCGCCAGGATCTCAGTTGGGCTCCTCACAGTGCTCACCATCACTGCTCAGAGTTCTGGTGCGCGGTCACAACTTCCCAGGGTTCCATACGTGAAGGGCATCGACGTGTGGATGACGTCGTGCCTGGTGTTTGTGTTTGCAGCCTACATGGAGTATGCTGTCGTCACGGTGCTGTCTAGAAGATACCGGAAACGGAAGGCGAAACAAGTCCTAAAAAATGTATTTTGATTTCACAAATGTTTTGGGTTGCGAAAGATCAAATTTGTTTCTGAACGCGCTGGCATTTTAGGGTAGGGGTGGGTAGTTGTGATGATCTTTTCTCATTTTCTTATCCTTATGCTGTTGATCACTGGAATGTCTGGTCCAGACTCGATTTTTTACAGACCGCCGCCATATAGTTGGAAAATTGCTGATTGTGGCGTAAAAGTAAACTCATTCACTCTTGGGATCATGTTTCCAAAGAGAACTATAAAAGGGTCATTCGGCGGGGCATTTGTTTTGTATGTTAAGTGGTTGTTTCCTCCTCCAACCAGAATGTTAAATATCTATTTCCTTAGAATTTTACCCGTGAGTATCCGGTTTCGAACTGGTCTTCAACACATGCATGCTTGAGGCAAGTGGCGACTAACCTGATCGGGTGGTCAAGCACGCTTACTTGGCTGACACTTGTCATTGTCTCCCAACTGCGTAGATCGATGTTCATGCTGTTGATCACTGGATTGTCTGGTCCAGACTCGATTATTTACAGACAGCCGCCATGCAGCTGAAAGACTGTGTGGAGTTAAACAACAGACAAAAAGTCAAACCTTAGTAATTCCCCGTGGACTACGAGCGATTCGTTATCTTCATCAGTAATTGAAAAACAATTAACACTTTTGAGTGCCTCACCCGTGAAGGCTCGGGTTAGCATTGAATGCAGCAGGGGGTGCTTGTCGTTAGATGCGACTGACAGATTAGTGTTCAGACTGCTGTTCGCTGCTTTAGTTCATGCATATCTCATTAACTACATCGCTGCTCACGATATCAATCACTGGAATGTCGATAATTTGCAGATAGACCTCATACAGTTTGAAGGCGGCGTGCAACAACAGCAACAGAAAAATTCATTTAGCATAAAGGCGATCACCTATTATATTTATTGATTTATTATTATTGATTAATTTTATTTATTAATTCATCTAATTTTTCAGAATTCCAAAGCGACCATGGCTACAGTTTCTGACGTGGACGTGACCATCAGTGACCAGGTCAAGGAAACTAAGGACACTGGCAGCTTCGTAGACAAATTGTCCCGATACCTCTTCCCATTGTCGTTCCTTATCTTTAACATTGGCTACTGGGTTTATTATATATACATCGCTTAGTTTCCAAATCAGGGGGCGGTGGGGTAGCCTAGTGGTTAAAGCGTTTGCTCGTCACGCCGAAGATCCGGGTTCGATTCCCAACGTGGGTACAATGTGTGAAATCCAGTTCTGGTGTCCCCCGCCGTGATGTTGCTGGAATATTGCTACAATAACTCCAATTCAAGCGTTCAAAGTCATAAATTTGAGAAGGGTGGAACCGTCGTCTAAAGATCGCTGTGCAGAGTTGCCTCCCTTGGGCTAAACAGTTGCCCTCCAATATTAGTGGCCGTGAATTCCTGCTTCGATCTGTATATGTTGTTACGTTTGACAGCACCGTGCTCGTGGGATTTACCAAACTGGTAAACGACCGAGACTTGCATCCTTTCTCGCTTTTCTCCCACGACAAGCTGACATCCTCTGCTGTAACTGAAAAATGTACAGAGCACAGTTAACCAAAACTCAAACTCACTCACTCATCATATACACTAAACGCCAAAAGAAACGTTACCCTCCTACCTTTATGAATTACTGAAAAACTATCAAAGATATGTTAGAAGGTATTAGCTTACAAGAAAGCTGAACAACACAGCTTTATGCAAATCACGAAAAACAATTCTCAAATGCATTTAGGTGAAATGCATCTTTTTCAGAAGAGTTAAATAGTCCTATATTCGTCCATGCCGAAATAAACCAATAACAGTGATCTTGTCCAAAAGAAAGGTTGAAATAATATTCTGCTTTGGGACAATGATAAACCATTTAAAGTCACCATTTTTCAACCATTAAAACAAGAAACAACTGTTGGAGAGTGTGTAAAACTTTAAAATAATCATTGCTATGATTTCAGTCCTTTAAAACATTTTCTGCTGGTTTGCATTAGTGAAAACAAGTAAAACGTGTCTTTGATATTGTGAAAAAATGTTTAGGAACATCTAAAATTATCTTTGTTAACATTTTTGCTTGCAAAGTAACATTTTTCTATTTTCTGTTTACACATAGCAATATCAATCGCTAAAATGCAGCAATATTCAAGCAGTATTTGCATCTATTTCACATGTAGATTGATTCAATAGCACAGGGGCGTGTCACGCTTAGAAACAGCGTTAAAAAGACATATAGGTATATAGACCCTACCCTACTACTATAGTAGTACTAGGGTAGGGTTTATATACCTATATGTCTTTCTAACGCTGTTTCTAAGCGTGGCACGCCCCTGTGTTCAATAGACTATGGAGAGAGCCTAGAATACATGACATGATACACAAGTAAGAGAAATATGCAACGATTAACAGCTGAAGAGAGAGAAAGAGCCATTGGGATGGGGTCGACAAACAATGCTGTTGCCAACGCCCTCGGATGCCACCGTATCATGGTTATAAGACTTATTCAGGGCTTCAGACAGACTTGGGTCACAGACCAAGAAGTGGACGTCCACGCATCACAACGCCAGCTGAAGATAGGTACCTCCGTCATTAAGGAAGGAGGGTAACGTTTCTTTTGGCGTGAGTGTATACATTACCACCACAACATCATCCGTCTTGTGGATTCGAACCCGTATCCGCCATGATTATTTTAACTGATCGGTTAGCACAACTGTTCGGTTGTCAAATGCATGACATACTTCTGGGACCCGTGAAGATGAGGGTAAGAATTGATCTTCAGCCAACCATGCTTGTCGTAAGAGGCGACTAACGGGATAGGGAGGTCAGAATCGCTAACATGGTTGACACATGTCATCGTATCCCAGTTGCGTAGATCGATGTTTATGTTGTTGATCACTGGTTTGTCTGGTCCAGCGAATATTTACAAACTGCCGCCATATTTTATTAATGAGTGCAGCGTTAAACAACAAACAAACATACCTGTGAGTGAGTGAGTGAGTTAAAATTTAACGTCACCTCGGCAATATTTCAGCCATATAGTGACGAGTGTGAGTAACGGGGACAATGGGGAAGTGATGTGGCTTAAAAGCGCTCGCTCGTCACGTTGAAAGTTCGTTTCATTACCCTACAATATTTGAAGTCCATTTCTGATGACCCCTGCCGTGATTTGGATGGAATATTGCTAAAGGCGGCGTAAAACCATATTCACGAACGTGTCGGTTTCCCATAATAGCAAGGGGCCGTGGGTTAGTCTAGTGGTTAAAGCGTTCGCTAGTTACACCGAAGACCCGGGTTCGATTCCCCAAAAGGGTACAATGTGTGAAGCTAATTCCTGGTGTCTCCCGCCGTGATATTGCTTGAATATTGCCAAACGCGGCGTAAAACTAAACTCACTCACTCACTCACCCATAATAGCAAAAGCTTAGACACCGTTTTCCTTTATCCCACGTCAAGCTGATATGCTATGATAGAATTGAAAATAGCTATCTTAGACCAAATTCACCTTTTAATGTGATATTCTGCGTAATACGTGGACTCTTTGTCGACTGCGGGGCAGAAAATGCCAAAATCATTTGCTTCAAATTCAACACATTCCATACGATATTTCTGTCAAACTTTCAAAAAAAGATGTTATTGTCGATAGGAATAATCATGTCTAAACACACAGTAAACTACGCTTATTACGAACTCGCTTATGACGAACTGGGGGGGAAGAGAAGATATTTTTTTATTTCATTTTTTTTTTTTTTTTTTTTGGGGGGGGTGGGTTTTTCGGGGATGACTGTCGAGCCACTTAGTGTAACGGTATAACGAGAGTTATACAGAGTTAGCTGTCATTTTCAGTTCGTTATAACCGTAGATTACTTGTGCTTACTGTATCCCTGTAGATGTACACATGTATATTCACACATTACGGTTACTTCCGCTCCGTGCACATGAAGCAAACCAATTATTTACCTTTCACAGACATACGCAACTCATGAAAATGTAGATATGTTGTGTACAAACTGTTGTGGTTGAATGTCTCGGGATATACGTCTGTGAATGCTAAAACATTGTTAATTTGAAAATGTCCACACTTGCTCAAAGTGCTCCACCAAGTAGACGTCAGAATACTGGCGTTTTGTGTTTTTGTAGAAGAGATATATTTAGATAACGTTTTATGTTTAGACATCCTTTTGGATAAACAAAACATGGGTACGTGCAAATGTGTCTGGATCTAGATTTTTGGTATATACAGTAAAACCCCATTATTGCAATGTGTTCCGTTTCATATATTCACGAATCCAAGGTATTGTGTAATGCATCACTGTATCGAAGAGACTACCTAATGACTAAAGGGGTTTCACTGTAAAGTTTTTGTATATAGAAATCACTGGAGTTCATTAATAAATAGAAATTATATTTGTTATCGGGGTGTTTTGTGTTTATTACTGGAAACATTATTTTATAAAATTGTTCCAGTCTAAATATATATATTTTTTCATTCTGACACACAAAAAATGCAAATTGACCAAAGGATGTCGCGCCCACCATACGAACGTTAACATACATTCGGATATCGATAGACCAATACTTTCGTCAAACATGCGCTCCGTGACCCGTGTTCAGAACACAATATTGAGCTTTGACATCACCAATCGATAAAACATTTTGATGTGAAGTGATTTGTGCTTGCATTAAGAAGAAAGGACCGCGCATCCCCTTTGCTAAAAGGTAGTAAGGACCTTGATGAAATTGATCTAAACCGGATGTGCGCCATGACCGATTTCGGTCGTCCAGACCGGAAGTTCTTATCGATGTCGGCCATTGTATACGGGAAAGGTCTTGTTAAGTATGTTTTTATATATAGGATGTAATCTACTCCATCTTCCTTCCTTTTGAACACAGATCTCTGAAGATTAACTCGTGTCGTCAAAATAGAAACGACACAAAGAAAATGTGGTGGGCTGAATTGTTATCCTTAAGACAAGAACCTGAATATTGATAAAAACGTCGGTTAAGGAAGCATTGTAAGTTTTCTTTTTGTCGGGCCGCGTTTCTAGCCAGTTTGACTTAAAAGTTATTGATTTTATTTTTGAATGGATACAAACATCCTTGACTCCGGGTGTGGAGTAAAAAACAACACGTTTCGTGATATTATTATTGGGCAAGAAAAATGACCCGAACATATGAATTGATAATTTACTTTGATCTTCAGTAAATCAATTTAATGGGAATTTTTAACAAAACATATGAAGAAAAGATGATGTAAAGAGGTTTTATTGCCTTCTTTCCTTTTGAAGTAAAAGTTGAAATCGTGAAATCAAAGACGTAGATGGCGTGAAGAGGTTTTATTGCTTTGTTTGTTTTTGAAGTAAACTTTGAAACCGTGGATGCAAATACGTAGGTTATGTGTTATATACAGAACTATAGAAATACTTTTAGAGGTATTGTTAATATGCCTTTGCTTGGCCTGATTTAAAAACACATGATGACATAATTTTTGTATGTAACCAAATCTTACAAAAATAGGCAAAATGCCATATATTTATAGCAAACAAATTCATGTAAATTGAATATTTGCATATATTCATGACAATCTTTCGTCAACACCGGGTGTCTATTGACAAAGGTCCTTCCATATAATTTCCATCACTTGTTTGCTTTTTTCTATCCAGTAGAATCGTGCGGATAGTTAAGATTAATATTGCTGGCCTCTTGCTGGCCTCAGCATTTTCACAAACTCTTACACAGTAATTACCTACCACACATAGAAGACATCTTTCATACCGAGAACACCTGTCGAGGTGGGTTAGCATTGTGGATAAAGCGTTCGCTCGCCACGCCGAAGACCCGGGGTCGATTGCCCACATGGGTGCATCGTGTGAAGCCCAATTCTGGTGTCCCCTGTAGTGATATTACTGGAATATTGGTAAAAGCTGCACTGACTCACTCACTGACTCACTCACTCACTCACTATTTACTGAAGACCCGATGTTAGAATTTGTCTTCATCAACCCATGCAGTAAGAGGCGACTAACGGGATCGGGTGTTCAGGCTTGCTGTATCCCATGCGTGGAACCATCTTCATGATGTCAACTTACTGGATTGTTTGCCTGCCGTGTTTAACAGCAAACCAAACTTGACAGTCGAAACGGCTGTAAAATCTCAAGATTTGTGAAGACTTTTGTAGGAGCGCCATCAAACGGCCGTCGCATCTGACAGTTTTTAAGTGCGCTGTATGCATCCATGTGCAAATCTTCATTTCAACAACAGAGCATAATTATGCTAAGGAATCTTTTTAAAACATTTGTTTTCATTACGAAAATATATCAGTTCCTATGGCTTTGCTATGGTCAATAGTATGCACTCGGAAATATATTTGTGTGTTCATGAAAATGAGGGGCTGTGGGGTAGCATAGTAATTAAAGTGTTCGCTCGTCACGCCGAAGGTCCTGGTTCTATTCCAACATGGGTACAATGCGTGAAGCCCATTTCTGGTGTCCCCCGTCGTGATATTGCTGGATTATTGCTAAAGGCGGCGTAAAACTAAACTCACTCACTCATGGAAATGAATTGTGTACAATGTCCTGTCGTATCGCCTGGACAGTGGTGCTGTTGGTCAACCCACTTACAGATGCATAAAACACGACAGAGAGT